CTTCTTGAAACATGGCGCCATCACTCCCCAGTGGATCATGCTGATGACCCAAGAGTAATTCTTATTTCCCTCTTTCCCCACCAAAGCCATCTGAAATCTCTGTTGGTTCTACCTTCAAAATATATTACAAATCCAGACACTTCTTTCCACCCTGTACCACCAATCCAATTTAAACCAACAATATCCTTTGCCTGTCTACTGCAATAGCCTTCAGATTGGTTTTCCTGCCTCCGCTCTTGCCCTTTGCTGACCCCCAAGTCTGTCATCCAAAGTAAATGTTGTTTTTGGATTAACAACAGCCATAGTAAATGTTTTAGTCATAGATCTGATTATGACAAATCCCCCACCAACACACACACACACGCACACAAACCTTAGGATGGTTTCCTGTCACACAAAGGATGCAGTCTAGTTCTTACTGTGACCCAAAGCTCTCCATGATCTGGCCATTCCTGCCCCTCCATTCTCCTCTCCTTGGGTTCTTCACCTTGCTTATAGTGCTCCAGCAACTGCAAAGTTTGGTCCTTTGTTTTTCTGGAACGCTTCAAGCTCTTTTTTTTGACTCAAGGAGGCATTGCCATCTCTTGCCCTCTCCACTTGGAATGTTCATCCCCTGGATATCAAGACATGATTCCTTCTCATTCAGTTCGCTTTTCAATTATCACCTTTTCTTGGGAGAAATTTGCCTTCCCTGACCATGCTCTCTAAGATAGCATCCCTCTCTATGTTACCTGGAAGTATTTATTTCTCTACTTGTTTAATCCTCATCTTCCCCACCAAATTGCCAAAATGTAATTTCCAAGATGACAGAGACTACATCTGTCTCGTTCATTACTATGTCCTCCATGCTTGAATAGTGCCTAGTCCGTAATACATACAGTAAATATGTGTTGACATATGCACAAAAGGAGGAAGGGAGAAGGAGAAAGAGAGAAAGGTAGGGAGACAACAGGGGAAGAAGAAGGGAGGGAAGGATTTGAAGTTCCATAGCTCACTTTTGAGCTGAAGACAAAACCATGAGGACTAGAAATTATTTGTGGCAATCACGGGCAGCCTTTCCACATTGTCACTAACAAGGGATTCTCGTTTGTAAAGCACGTTGAGTTCTTTACGTGTAGGACTTGAATTCAATGTATTGTCACATTGCGTCCTGATTCTACCTACTGCCATGTACATAAATTTCAGCATATTGAGAAAAGTAAAGAAAAGCCTAGAAATACATTACCAGGACACACGGAGAAAGAGAAGGGACAAGTGAATGGGAGTGACCTGAATAGCAAAGACAAAAATTGTAGTCCGAGAGATCAACTGCAAATTCAAGTGGAGAGAAACAAATGAACGGATTTAAACAATGATTAGTTTGAAAGAGTCTGGAGCTTCTTAAAACCAAAAGGCTGTGAATTTGAGATGCGATAAATTCCTCATACGCTTCCCCAGGCCTGAGCTCTGTTTCAGGGAAGATTCGGCAAGGGTGTCTGCACTGGTCTGCTCAGGGTCTGTCTCTCTCTTATTGGAACGATCTTAGTAAATATACAATAATATTAATACATGCACATGCTCCTTAAAGCAGGAATTGTTTCCTTGATAACCAAGTGGGAAGAGCCACTTGGGAAAGGTATTAAAACTATCACTCACTTTCATGATGGCTCTAATCTCAAAGTAAATGTCCGGGTGGCCACTGGAAAGCAGAAAGATGATCATTGCAGCCTTCTACCTGGTGAAAAGCTCGCCACTGTCAATCTAAGTGCCTGTGAAAACCTCGCACTTGCTTTTGAGGAGCTGAATGATTTGAATATAAATAAGCAACTCTTTCCGCCTGTCAGTTACCTCAAGAATATTTAGTGTTGTCTCCTTTAATGATTGCTCATTACAGATGAGTGCGAGTGAGCGGATTTAATCAGGGTAATACGGGGTAATCATCATGTGAATTTCTCCACCTCGGCACTGGCTCCATCTGTTCCAAGCTGTTTGTCCATGTCAAACTGTCACCATTCTGAGCCGGTGACTGACAGGTGAGGTGAGGCCAGACATGTACGTTTTTCATCTCAGACCCAGAAATTCTCTGACGTGTCCTTCTCACCGAAACAAACTGCTCAAAAGACGCAAAGGGGTTCTGGATTTAGGACCTCTTTCTCTTTCGTTGGTCTGTTGGATGGCTCATTAAAATACTTTGCTCACTCAGGCTTAGCACAAGAGCCTGGCCGAGGCCGTGGGTTATCTTGATTGGGTGGTGGAATCTAGGGGGAAGGCCAGGGAACACCACCTCGCAGGGCTCACACCACCACCGACACACAGCCGCCCCCACCGCCCCCGCTGGGGGTTGAATGGGGCATCGGCTTAGCAGCCACACATGCTGCCCTCCTAGGAACAGACATCTTATTCTGCCTTCCTCCCGTGTCAGAAGGGCAACGTGGTGGCCCTTGTCAGCAGCCTTTGTGTCTACTCACTGAAGAGGTTGGTGATGGAAATTATTTAATGAAAAAAAATGTAGCTTAAGCCTCATGAATTTTTATTTTCTCCTCCCTGGGATTTCTGCATCAGAAGACCTATGTGAACGAAAGTTCTCTGTGAAGGAGTGCCTCTCCTCCCCAAGCTAGTTGTAACGAACACTATAATAGAGTATTTGAGAACCACATATCCCCTCAAGATGCTTGAATCCAAAAGACAAACAGCAGTTAATAAACACAAGTGGACAGTTATTTCCTTTAAGTCTTTGGTGTACCGTACATTATCTCTGCCCTTTTGCTGTCAATGCTGAAAGACTGGACTGAGGTTTTAGACCCAGAATCGAACTTTGTCCACTTTTCCCCTTGTGTCACCATGACTCTTCTGCGAGAGCGAAGTGCCCAGACCATGCTGAAGGGCTCAGTACGTGAATGTCGTGACAGTACTGGGGCAGCAGGGAAGAGTTAGATGGTGAGCCTAGGGCCTGATGTCTCCAGCAACAGACAGAAAACAAAAATTCCCTTTCAAGGTGACTTTGTAACATTTATTTCTCTTTTCCTTTGTTATGAAAAGGCTTATGTAACCGGCTTTGGCTCTACTTCACAGAAGCACCATATGCCAAACACTAAAGGAATGCATGGGGCCGGGGATGAGGAGGAAGCCCAGACAGGCCCTCACAGAGCTGAGCGTCCCGGGCCCCCGGGTGATGGGCACAAGCGCGGGGCTTTGATGGAGAACCAGGGAAGGAGCAGCTGCTGCTCTGAGTTCCTGGCTTCATCATTCCCTAGGTGGAGGCCCTTCTGTTTTGCTTTTCCAGCCTGCAGAATGTAAAACCCCAAAGCACTTTTTAAGTACTTTTTTCTTTCCACCCGAGGGAGAGGAACAAGATTGACCCTGATTGTCATGCTTGAATCTGGAATTTTTTTTTTTTTTTTTTTTATGGAATCCACTCACGAACTGCCTCCCTCGGTATCTCTTTCACGACGGCCCTGCTCGTCCCCTTCGTCTCATTGAAAGTGAGACAAGAACAAAGTAGAGTCCCACGCTGCACAGACATTGCATATTCGGGGAAGAATGATAAAGTAACCTAGAGACTTATTCTCACAGCTAATGTTTTCATATGGTTTCTTTTCCAGTTTTCTAATAGGAAGATTCATTCTACGTATCCTTTAAGACACCTTTGGACAAAGTAAAATGTTTCCATAAGGCCATGCCTCACTGCGGCGGCGGGCGGGGGGTGCCTGCAGGGAACAGCATGCTCAGGGGCTAAGCTGGAAAAGCTTCAGTTCCCCCTGATGTGCAATAAATTGTTCCCCACTTTGCGCTCTGGTAGTGGATTGTCCAAAAAACCTAACGTGGTTTTATGTCACACTGGACATGTGGCTGGCCCTTAGTCTCTGAGCATCTTGAGGACAAAAACCACGTTCCATTCACCTTTATCCTCCCAATAGCTGGGATAGTGGTGTTCAACCAGAGAGAGTTTTGCCACTCAGGGAGCGTTTGGCAATGTCTGGGAGCACTGTTGGTCGGCACAGCAGAAGAGTGGGGTGTGCTACCGACATTTAGTGGGCAGGGGCCAGGGGCGATGGACAGCTCACAGCACACAGGACACCCCCCTCCCACAAAGAATTATCCAACCCAAAATTTAACTTCCCCAAAAATAGTCTGTTAGACAAGTATAACAACAAAGTGAATCAGGTACTCTCTCTTTTTTTATTATTATTATTACTTTTCCCCTGGAACAGCCAGCTCATGTCATAAAAATCTCATGGTATTGAGAAAACAACAGGAAAAAGGTTTCAAAGCCTGTGTCATCCCACAGATGGTTACGGGTATGAATGGTGCTAAGTGATTCTCTCAGCAGCTTCGGCTTCCTTGAGGCTTTGGACCAATTGTATCCACATATATGCAAAGCTTAATTCCTTTGTCTCTGCCTTTTGTGACCCTCTCTGTTTATCACATATATTTTATTACATAACTGCTTTAAAACTTTTGGTGTTCTTGAATCGCTGAATTATTGCATATCGGATAACTACTACTCAGCAGCCAAATGTTGCTGACCATTCTATGCAGTCACAGCAGAAGTGATCATTTCAAAGACATGGTTTTTTAAAGAATGCCTCGCTGACATTAAGTAGAATTACACCTACAGGCAGAAGTCAGTCTCCATGGTGGGGATGAAGGATTGAGGAGCGTCCACTGATTATGTAGTGAAGGAGCCCTTCTCCCAGCCCTGAAGGTGTCTGGTGCCACCATTTGCTTGTGATGACGTTGGAAGCTAAGGAGACCTGGAAAATGCAAAAGCTGTCACCAAGAAGCAAATCATTGCTGGGGTATCTCTTTCTTATCTGACTGCCTTGGAACCAAACTGAAGAAAACGGTGACATAAACAAATGTACACCACCTTCCTGCTTCACTGCCTTTATCGTCAGAGTCATGTTCCCCAAAGGGCTTCTAGTCTAGCTGAAGAAAAATAGAAAGCTGGAATACTCCAAACTGTCCAAAATATAAATCCATCAATTTTTAAAGTAACTGATTTTTTTTTTCTTCTCAAAATGCTAGAGTTTTACCTTATTATCCATTTTCTTTTTGCAGTGTTACAATTTCTCATCGGGGTTTTAACAAACGGCATCATTGTGGTTGTGAACGGCACTGAGTTGATCAAGCAGAGAAAGATGATTCCATTGGCTCTCCTTCTTTCCTGCCTGGGGATTTCCAAGATTTGTCTGCAGTCGGTCATCTTCCCCGTTAATCTGGCTATTGTCTCCTTGATTGAAGTCCCTCTACTTGTTGAGAATTTTGTAATTTTCATGTTTGTAAAGGAATTGGGACTTTGGTTTGCCTCGTGGCTCCGTGTTTTCTACTGCGCCAGGATTGCCCCCATAGCTCACCCACTCTTCTTCTGGTTGAAGATGAGGATATTGAAGTTGGTGTCATGGCGGATCCTCGGGTCCCTGCTGTATGCTTCCATCCCTCCTATTTTCTACAACAAATATACATGGGTTCTTTCCCAGCAACTCTTGTTGGGCTTTTTCTCCCCCAACGCAACAACTCAAATCAAAGAAACATCTGCTTTACAGACTGTCTTTCTTGTGAAGTTATTATTGCCGTTATTTATCTTCCTCGCTTCTGCCCTGCTCTTGGTATTTTCCCTGGGGAGACACACCTGGCAGATGAGAAACGCGGCACCAGGGTCCCTAGCACAGGTGTCCATGTGAGATCGCTTCTGTCCGTTCTGTCCTTCCTGGTCTTTTGCCTCTCCCACTACATGACAGCTGCTTTGCTCTCTTCTCAGATTTTTAAGCTCAGGAGCCTCAAGTTCATGTTCTGTATCTGGGTGTTTGGGTCATATCCCTCTGGACACTCTACGATCTTAATTTTAGGAAATCCTAAACTGAAGCAAAATGCAAGGAAGCTCCTCCTCCATGGGAAGTGCTACCAGTGAGAGAGAACTCTGAACCATTGGAAGGACCCGCGGTTCCAGGCGTTACCACCACCCACCGCCCCTCCGTCGGTCAAACAAAGCTGTCTGCGCATAAAGAGACGAAATGTCATCTAAAGACCGCTTGTCCAACCTGAGGCATTTTTTATGGATTTCCTCCTTTTTCAAAGGGTTAAATTGATTTTCAAAGCACAACACACACGGGCGGATTCCATCAATGTCATTATTCCGGTTGTGATATTATACCATCGGCTTGCAAGACGTTTCCTCACTGGGAAAGACTGGGTACTGGGTACAGGGATCTATCTGTATTATTTCTCACAAGTGCATGTGAATCAACAATGATCTCAAAATAAAAAGTTTAAAGAAAAAGATCTTTGAAGTCATGATGCCCAAAGGATGCATGAATCCCATGGGGTCCCTGGGGGTCTGACACCTCATCTTAGATGATCTATCCTGACAGGACTGGCTGCTCCTTTCTTGTCTATTTGCAGATTATTTTTGCTGTGTTTGTTAGAGTCACAGACAATGGAACCATTCTTCCTCATCAGATCTGAGAGGAAGCTGAGGACAAGCCATCTTCCTCTGTCCGCGTAAGCTTGCTCACTGACTCCCCACAGCTGAGACGCTAGATGCCCTGTTGACATGTCCCATCAACTGCTAAAAAAAAAAAAAAAAAAAAAAAGGCAGATGGAAGAGGAATCCAGGGCTGGATTTTCCATTTCCCCTAATTGGGCGCACAGTCCAGAAAATAGCTTGCAAAGATGTTTCATTTTGCATTTGTGTGCTGGGCTTTGGGACCCTTTCAACCGATGGTAACAAACTAGAACTCCTACCACATTGCTTGTCTTCCCAACGAAGCAACATCGGTAGGTGGGTGGGCTGGGGGTGTCTCCATCTGTTTCAAATCACAGATGAATTTTCTATTTGAGTGATGATTTTAGATGCTAAGATATATACGTATTTCTAAAACAGCTTCAGAACCCTTTTGCTTCCAGTGAAGTGAAAGATGTTCCTCAGTTTGGCTAGAGCTTGCAGTTCACGTGTGATGATGGTAAGCCTGTTTAGGTTTGGGTTTGCCAATTGCCAGGGATGTAGATTCCAAGGGTGGTTTACTAGCCCAACGCACGCAGGCTTGGCTGCACCAAACTAACAAAGGTCTCTGCTTCAGAAGATGCAGGAAAGTGTTTATCTTCGTGGGTGTGGGAACTGAGATCTGAGGCTACTCTTCCTCTTTCATGCATCCTCTCCTTCATTCACCAGGGAGCAAATTAACAGCCTCCATCCTCCTTCTATCTCATTTTCCCTCATCCCGGTAGGTGGAAAGTTTTATAACTAATCGTGCACACAGGCAGCCAGCTCTGGGAACAGTGGTTGTATGCTGCAGGTGATTATTGCGCCTGCTTTGAAAAGGGACAGTGAAGAGTTACTTTTATTTTCTCAAGTTCAGATGCCGGCTCTTTGAATCATGGTGTGTATACCAGCAGGTGGATAGAGAGTGGGAGCCATTTCAGACATTCAAGAGAAACTCGTAAATATACAACTCGTGTGATTTTTTTCTCAGATATCAAATTCTCATTCCATTTCATGCAAATCCTGCTTCAATAATGTTAGTTAATGAGATGAATATTAAGCTACGACTGTTTGTATACCTAAACGTTACCAAGGAGTTCTAGAGAAGAGAAGACAGCCTAAAGAAAACTATTCTGGAAACATTTTCACAGTCTATTTTCCTTGAAATATTTCTTCCAGAAATGTTGCCTAGCTATCACATTGATGGATATTGTGTAGGACACTAATCGCTCCATTGGAGAAGCAAAACAGACTCAGCCTTTGGTCTCTCTCTAGCCGCCCTTGTCTGGATTCTTTAGCCTGGACAGATTGCTTTTGTCCTGCCCATCTGGCCTGGGGTAGCATGGAGTTAACCTCAGTAGTGACGCAGATTCTTCCTCTACCCTACCCCTGCATCTGTAGGGATGGACTGGCCATTGTGGCCCCCGGGAGCCTCGGCTGGGGGTCACATGCCCGTGGGTCAGGCCAGAGAGCTGCTAACTGCAGGGCATGGTGCTGTGCACTCTTCATCCCCTGCCTGTGGTCCCCCATTTGGAGGACATCTGGCATCCTGTTCAGTCAAGGACAAAGGAGGATGGGCCACCAGGCAGGCTCTTACTGAGAAGGGAGCCAGCATGGTACCCCATTCCATTTCAGATAGGTTTTTCGGTAAGTGGCCCCAAACCAGAATGCAAGACTTGCTGCATCATGTCCTGCTGCCCTTTCTGACATTGACTCCTTCAGCACCCATGCTACGGGGATTCTTCATGGCTTCCAGTGGCTAAACATGGTGGCCGACTGAAAAGGCTAAATCCAGATGCTTCTATTAATACATTTTTTAAAGTATAAATGCTATAGCAATTTGAATATTCAAAAAACAAACACAATAGTTTTAAAAGTCTCAAAAATTGCACATGCCTTTTAAATCCTCAATCACTCATTCAAATATAATAACTGCTTGAAGACAGAATAATCTGGACCTGGAAGTGCCGGGGGCACATTAACATTTAATATCTACCGGTCTTCAGGCTGATGACCACCCATTCCAGAAAGATCATATGGGCTGTCATATGCTGAAGTATAGTCATACTCGCCAGACAATGAATATTCCCATCCTACGCTTGGGAAATATGGTTGCCATAACTTTTGTCCACAGAGACCTACATCTCTTTGGGTAACAAGGGGGACAGGTAGTCAAAAATATCCAAGAGAGAAAGAAACCGGGCAGATCATCCAAATTGACTTTGGCAATCAACGGGCCAACAGATGTTACAAACAGATGGCACCCATACTGGAGAAAGCTCCAAACGACAGGGACAGGGAGCCCCCACATGTTTGAAAAAGTGTCTTGCTAGAGTATGAGTTTGGAAATCAGAGTAGAGATGGTGTTAACACAAACTTAGTATCAGTGGTCTATTCTTATTTAAAAAAGTATTATTTGCCACCCAATAATTGCAGACTGTCTTCTGAAACCTTAATGCCAGGGGAAAGGGTAGGTACTGGGGAAATCTGTCTCAGTGATCTGAAAATATTAAGCTCTGGGGGAGGCTCCACATAAATTCAGAGGGCTGGTGGACACCTGCTTCACTACCTTTCTATATCAAGCCAACGTCTCCCTCCCTTTCCTTGATATACTCATGTACCTGAGCTACCACTCCATACCTTCACAGGATTAAGTACTGATTGTGTTTAAGATGTGATGTGAACATTTGGCTTCATATCTGTGACATCTGGATCTACTTCATCGTTTTGGCTGGGGGTCAGGAGTTGGTGATTTTATCCTATAATCTAAAACATGTTCAAATCAATGAAGTGTGGGTTTACTTTTTTTTTTGGCATTTTATTAGTTTCTATTTTAAACAGTTCTCCATCAACCAAGATCATCAACATAACATAATATTAAACAAAATATCCACTTAAATGTCTCAAAATATGTCCGTTTTTTAAATGACGACCGAGAATTCATTTTGTGTAAACCTCAACATTCTTGAGAAAAGAAATACATTGTGACTCTCTATTTTTGAGGCTGGAATGCACATTCCTAAGTGAAATCTTCAGCTTCTTATAACTAAACTCTCTTCTCAGAGATTTGTGTGAGTAATGCGTGTAAGTACCTGCTGATGTATAGCTGGGTAGAATTTGAATTGGAGAATATCTGAGGCCCTATAGCTAAACTGGGCTCAGCACTTGGTAGGCATGCTCTGGAGGTCCTAAATTCTAGAACCACTGGGGGAAACCGGATTCTTTTGAAACTAGGCAGGTGGAAAAGGATTTGGAAAATAAATAAGTGGCTAATAGTGGGATAGGATATTACTTTACTAAATATATGGATTGCCCTCTGGCAGTAAACCCACTCATTTAGAAAGCAGATGTTGTACTTGTGATTGTAAATTAATGTTTTACTCCACTTAAAACCTAGGCAATTGGCTTCCAGAGGACATTGACATATGGCCAGGAAGCTCAGTTTCATGATAACTATTTTCCAGCACATTCGCTGCTGCTTATCTGCTCTAATGCTTGGAATTCTTGAAATAAGGACTTGTGCCTTTGATCATGGAGGCATGATGTTCTTAATGGCACTGGTTGATGATAGATCCGGAAAACAGGCTCTATGGAAGGAAAGAGGAAACCTTGAGCATAATATTTAGATTCGGAAACCTAAGTGGATTTTTATAATACCATATAAAGAGAGGTAATTCGTCCATACACAAGCCAAACCACTGCGTTTCAAGGCTGATACCCTGGTTTTCCCTGTTCTTGCTAAAACCGCACCTGCTATTTTGGTCATTTAAGCACCTTCTGTGCAATGCAGTAAGCATAGTAATGAACTGAGCCTCTCTTCCTTGATCTGTGAAATGGAGATAAAAAGGATGGATGCCACACACTTAACGAAGTTCCAGGTACATCACTGTGAGCTCTACCAATGTAACTCCCAAGTCACGGGGACTGAGGTCCGTACTTGCAACAAAGAATATCCAACAGCACTCTGGGAGGGGAGGAGAGCACCCTGGGAAAGAGCATGCTGAACAACAGAGGGTCACAAATGAAGCTTGATGTGGAATCTAGATCTACCGCCAATGAGCTGGGTGGCTTAAAAAACCTGCACATCGTGCTTCCCCATCTCTGAAGTGGGGGTGTGAATAATTCCAAGGTTTCCGAGAGGAATCGACGAGCTAGTAGAATCAATGCCTTGTTGCTACTAGTGTTTTCAGTTGTTAAACCATATACACCTGCTGACATGTGACCATTTTTGACCTGCAGAGATGGCAGTTTCTTACGTTTCACGTTCATCATCGATCAAACAATCAATCGGAAGGCTTGGGGAGGGGAAGAAAGGACGTGCTGTTCTTGAGGCGGAGGGCAAGGAACAAAGCCTGGGGAGCCACACCATGGTCCTAAAATTCTGCCATATCCACTCCCATGGCCAAGGGGCCCAACCCCATAGAAAGAAG